TACCACCTTCCAAGTGTTTGCAGATGGTTTCCTTAATTACTTGCTCCATTATCTTCCCTGGCACGAAAGTTAAACTAACCGGTCTGTAGTTTCCTGGGTTGTTTTTATTTCCCTTTTTGTAGATGAGCACTATGTTTGCCCTTTTCCAGTCTTCTGGAATCTCTCCTGTCTCCCATGATTTTCCAGAGATAATAGCTAGAGGCTCAGATACCTCCTCTGTTAGCTCCTTGAGATACCGATACTTGTTGAGGGTGGATTAATTATGTCAATGGGAGAGCTCTCTCCAGTCAACATAGAGTGACTACGCTAGAGATCTTATGGTAGTGCAGCTGCATCAGTACAGCTCCACCACTATAAGCTCTCTAGTGTAGACAAAGCGTTAGATTGACATCCCCCATGATCACAGAGCTTTTTTCTTGCATGTTGTAGATAGATGCTTAAGGAACTGGTCAACCTGTTCCCTAGTTTGAGTAGTGGTTTGTAGCAGACACCAACTAGTATCCCATCCTGAACTTTTTCTAAGTATTCAAGAGCAGTTTCTTCTGAGTTGTTTCACTAAGGCCTTGTCTACATTACGTCACTGTGCACACTACAGCCTTGTCCAGCCGATGTAAGTCTGTCCAGCTGGTCTCCCTGTGGGGAGATGTGTGGAGCTGAGAGCCCTGGCTCTCAGCCCCCCACAGTGCCCCTCTTCAGTCGGTTGAAGTGCTCCTGGCGAGGATGCACAGCACTGACAGGAGGGAAGTGTGGACATCAGCCACGGGCTGTAAGTCGACCTAACATAACTCAACTTAGGCTTGTAGTGTAGACATGTCCTTAGAAACAGGTAGGGTTATTTTTGACAAGAGTGCTACTGCCTCTCTCCTTTATCCCCAGTCAACCTTTCCTGAATACATTATAATAATTGATTGTAACATTCTAAACATGACTCATCCCACCAGTTTACAGTACTACCACTTATATCAAATTTACTCTCAAAAATGGGCAATTCCAATGATTAGTGTAGGTTTCTAGAATTGGCACATAATCAATTAAAGAATTTCTTCTTTTCATGGCCTTTGGTGTCTTGATTCATTTTGTCCTCAACATCATGATTTTGTGCTAAGTGAGTGCTTATTTGTTCCCTCTTTTCACACACTTCCTCTCAGACTACTGTAGCCAGTCTGTCCCTGAGAAGACTGGTTCCTGTTCTACTGAAATGCAGGCCATACAAACTGTACAGCCCCTTCTCCCTGTGGAAGGTGGACTAATACTCCACAAAGGGAAGCACCTTTCCCTTACACCACTTACCTAGTCAGTGATGCACTTTCTTTGCTCATAGAGAAGGAATGATCTCCTTCCCTGAAGTCATCTATAAGCTGTGAGATACCTGGCAATGCAGTGTCATTAGTGTTGATATACACCATCCCCAGTGAATCCATCCCCTTTGATTTCAGAAGCCTATCAAATCTTATGGCAGGTCTACACTATGGGGTTAAGTTGACCTAAGTTATGCAACTTAATAACATAGCTGGAGTCGACGTAGCTTAGGTCAACTTACTGCGATGTCTACACCACGACTTACCTTATGGTTCTCATTTCTGGTGGAGTACCGGAGTCGATGAAAGAGCGATCTGTGATCAATTTAGCGGGTCTTCACTTGACCCACTAAATTGAGCCCCGGTGGATTGATCACCGTAGCATTGATTCACCATAAGTGTAGACATGCTGTTAGAGTGATGACTCATAGCCTTGGTTTAGGGAAGATAGCACACCATCCTGTTGTCCATCTGTTCTTTGCAGAATGTTCTTCCCGTTCTTGTTAGTATGGAATCCCCAACAAGAAGCGCCTGTTTTCCTTGAACAGTTGAAGGTCTTTGAGGGCAAGTAATCGAATTGAAAATAGTTACTTGCAACAATAGGTGAGACATTTAGGAAGAAGGGTGATTTTTTTTTCCAAGTTGGTGTTCCTTTATCAGAGCACGGATCATTTAATCTAATGGTAGAGTATCATTTTCTGATGGCTTTTGCTTTTAAATGATTAGGCTTAACAGGAGCAGGTAAGGGGTGTATATTTTTCAGGGTGCTATACAAACATTAAATGGTCCAAAATAAATGCACTGTTTGTGGAAACATTGTGTAACTAGTGTCCACCGCTCCCCAAGGGCCAAGTGTTATGAAGTTATGCAGTGAGGTATTTTCTCTTTTGATTGTATGGGGGACACCTTCGTTGCTTCCGCTCAATAGTGCTGCCTGGTGGTACATAGGCCACTCTGATTAGCTGCTCATTAATGTCTCTGCCTGGACTGTCACTTAACTGAAAGCCATCAAATTATCACAGTATTTTCTGTAGTACAAGAAAGAACATTAGTATTCCCCTTTGCTAGGTTTTTTTCCCTCCCAATGAACAACATAATGCTAAAAAACTGGTTTAGGCCCTCTCCTTCCTGAAAATATACAGGGTGTTGAATGAGGGTCCAGATGACATGTTAATTATAAACATGAAGTGTGTGTGTATGTCTTTTTAAAAAAAGAGTGAAAGAAGAATTGGCTAGACCACTCCCAAGCCTCTCATTCACATGGGGGTGGGGGGAGATTTATTTATTGAGGCCTGCCCTAAATCTCACACTGTTCCCCTCCCACTAGCAGCTGGAAAACTCTGTCCTGCCCCATAACTGTTTCCAGCATAAACTGGCCCCTGGGCTGGTCTAGCAGAGTTGATGCTGCTGGGGGAACAGGGAGAAGCCTCTTGGGCTCCTGCCTCAGCTGAATCTGATTTGCTGTTGTGCTATTGGTACGTGACCGCCCTCTCCATGGGCTCAAAAGAGGCTCGGCTGCATTTCATGCAGAGGAAGGTCCCTCAGCACTTGGGCTTAGGGTTACCACCTGCTCGGTATTTGACCAGCCTGGCCCTTTTTTTATGGATGTGCCAGTTGCCACAATAATAATTTAATCTGCTGGGTTTTTTATGTGGGTCCAAAAATTTGCATTATCACAATAGATTCATAGATTCTAGGACTGGAAGGGACCTCGAGAGGTCATCGAGTCCAGTCCCCTGCCCGCATGGATACACCAGGATATCTAATGTTAAAAGTTTCCGTATCTAGCTAAAGCTGCTGTTTTCCCATTTCCACACTTTAAGTGGTAACAGATCAAAACTGTTCAAAATACAGCAGCTGTCTACCCACCAACGAGCAAGCACACCGTGCACATGTGCGAGAGGGTTTGAGTCACGCAAGCGTGAGGAGATGTTATCAATCTTATCTATATGTGTTATCTCTCCATAGGTGGCTGTTGAAGGGGGGGGAGTTGCGGTGTTGTCTTGTGGTTGCAACAGGCTTGCCTTGTGGGGCGGGTTAGGGTTGCCAGGTGTCCGGTCGAAAAGGGACCCTGGTAGCTTTGGTCAGCACTGCTGACCGGGTTACTAAAACTCTGGTCGGCGGTGTAGCAGGGCTAACGCAGGCTTCCTGCCTGCCCTGGCTTCGTGCGGCTCCTAGAAGCAGCCAGCATGTCTGGCTCCTAGGTGCAGGGGAGGCCATGGGGGCTCCATGCGCTGCCCCCATGCTAAGCGCCGGCTCCTCAGCTCCCATTGGTCAGGAACCGCAGCCAATGGCTGTAGGGGCAGCACTGAGGGCAGGGGCAGTGTGTGGAGCCTCCCTTGCCCCTCCACCTAGGAGCCAGACATGTTGGCTGCTTCTGGGAGCTGATTGGCTAGAGCCCACACCCTGCATCCTCTCCCCAGCCCAAAGCCCCATCCTGCACCCCAAACCACTCCCCAGAGCCCACACACCCCAAGCCCAGTGAAGTGAGTGAAGGCTGGGGAGACTGAGGGAGGGAAGATCAACTAAGTGGGGGGCAGAACCTCAGAGAAGGGGCGGTTCGGGCGGGGCAAGGGTGTTTGATTTTGTGCGATTAGAAGGCTGACAGCCTTAGGGGCTCCATTTTTTTATTTTTTGCATTTCAAAGGTGGTAACCCTATTCAGGCCTCCTGTGCCTTACGCTCTCTTCAGGGGTCTGGCTCCAGCTCTCCGGCCCCCCGTGCCATGTACTCCCTTCCTTCAGCAGTCTGGCTCGCTCCCGCCGCCCTTTGTGTGACCGCCGGCGAGTAGCGCCTGCCCACGGCGTCTCAGGGCTCGAGGTAACCGCCAGATGTTTGGCCGCAGGAGGCTTCACTTAACGGAGTCCCCCACCAGGGGCCGCTGTACACGTGTCCCGGCGCTCCCAGGGCGGGTAAGGTGCTATTTCTCCCCCACCCTCCCCAACTCGTGGCGCAGGTTCCCTACAGCTCCCGCCGCCGGGGCGGCTCATGTTCCAATCCCCGGCTGGCGCCACGCGGGGCAGGGAACGCTCCCGCTCACCCTGCGCGGGGCAGGGAACGTTCCGCTCGCGCGGCCCGGGTACGTTGGAGACCGTTGGCCACTCGTGGGGCCCCAGGTTGGGGTTAGTGTCACGCGCGGGCTTTGCCCGTGGTGACGTCACCGGTCGCGCTCTACTCTCACTCAGTCGGCGTTTCCCGACCGCGTGCAGCAGTTTGAGCTCAGCCCAGCGGTTCCACCCAGTCAGTTAGTGGCCAGCAGTAGTAGCGGCGGTAGTGAGCTCCCGTTAGCGACGCCTCTTACGCCCCGCCCTGCCCCATGTTCGGACCTGATAAGCAGTCGGGGCAGCCGAAGCTGGACTGCGGTGGCAGGTTCGGGAATATGGCGTCTGTGGGGGAATTTAACTCGTTCAGCGCTAGCATCCCGGCCACCAAGGTGGAGCTGTCTGTGTCCTGCAGGTAAGCGAGCGGGGTTAGACGGTGCGGGGCACCCGCGGGTGCTGCCTTGCGTGGCGTGTCGGGTGTGAAAGCCCCAGCTCCCCCCTCTGGTGCCCTAGGAGGATGGGATGGGGGGCGACGTGTCTGATCCAGCCCCCTTGTGGTTTCTCGGGCTGGGGTGTGCGCTCCACTCTCCCTGTGATGAGCTGTGGGGGCGGAGGGTCCCGACCCTTCCCCCGTGGGGTGGGGTGGGCAGGACGGGGACTTGGGGAGCAGGTGGAGTGAAATCCCTGAGCGCTGCGGACCGTACAAAGGAGAGTTGGTTTCGGTTCCTTTTCGCAAGTGCTTTCTGGAGAGACTTGGCTCATCCGTTTCTTCTGGGAATGTTCCAGCTGGGAGAAGTTGGTAAATCCTCATGCAGAGGGCTGGGTATTCAGACCCCAAAATCTAGTAACAGGCTCCTTCCCTTCCTGGGAACCTCCGATTGGCTCTGGTGTTACAGGCTACGCAGGGAGTGATGGCAAATACATAGAGAAATAGTAGATGGGGGATTCCCCGTACCAAAACGGTGTGGCAGCCTGGGCTACCGCCCCAAATTATTTCCTCATGGGAGGGCTGCGTGTGATGCAGGTGTCTTTATTTAGATCGGTTCCAAACCTTTCGCTGGAGGAGAGAGAGAGACAGACTCGAGTTGGGTTTCTGTGGTCAAGGAGCATTTCCTCAATCTGGCTGACACTTATCCTCAGACCTGTCCCCAGGTCTCATGCGATGCGGAGAGGAGGGACAACCCCTGTCAAGACACTGTTTAAAAGAACCTTGTAAAACTGTTTCAAAACTTTAACAGTCCAGTCGCACACTCCGTCCATCCTTGACTATGATGTTGATGGTAACTAAAACAACAACAACCCCTAACTAATGATATTTCAATTGCTCGTCAAAATTTACTCGGCCTGGGTGCGTGTGGGCAAGTAGAATGTTCTAAGTTTGGCAAAGATTTTCCCCCCTCTAAGGATGAAGAATTTTTGCTTCGTGTGCTATGAGACCCTCTCCCTAGTATTTAGAAATCTCCTTAAAACTGCCTAATCGACTGTAGAACAGCAACAGCCGTAGCTGGTGTATTTGGCAGCTTTAATTGTTGTTTCCTGTTGGGAAACGAAACAGTCTGCTGAGCCATTGCCAGTGACATACTGTACTACTAAAATGTCCCGGGCTGTATCCTCTCTGTTGCTTCAGAGGTGCCGAGGTTACCACTGCCACTCCTTCAGCGGTTTACAAAACAGAACGGCTGCTCCTGAACTCCCTTCCCCAAAGTAAACCTCGTAGCTGTTTTGATAAGGGGAACATGTCGAAACAAGGATAAATCAATGAGAAGCACAATAATCCTCGCCTTCCTAATGGCTAGGCAGATGAAAAGCTAACACGCCCCTTCCTCTCTCCCCCCCCCCAAACAAAACGTGCTTGTTTATTATTAGGTTGTCCACTTCCTCCACCAATATTTTTATTTAAGTTGCCTATTGCCTCTTTTCTTAATCTAAAATTACAAGGTGTCTTGGAAGGGGATGGCCTTCTTGTTAATTTTTTGTACACCACTGTATAAATTGATTAGGTTCCCTAGCCACTGTCTGTAATACAAATAATAATAAAAAAGGCTGATGTCCTCCACTTTCTATGTAGAAGAGGGATGAACTTATTTAATAGGGGTTGGTTTGAAGACTGTAAATATTCTTCCTTTTCGAATGGAGTTTTTTGTATATTGAAATTTTCACAGTTTGTGACGCCTCAGAATATTGAATTTCTAGAAATCACCACAGAGTTTCTAAATAGCACCCAAAGGGAAACTGGACACCACACAAGGCATGTATCAGAGGGGTAGCCGTGTTAGTCTGAATCTGTAAAAAGATTCAGACAAGGCATGTTATTGTTTAGAGAAAAACAGGCTCTAGGGTTCAGGAGCTTTAGTTTTAGGGTTGGGTTTTGTAAGTAAATGCTATGATATCTGTCATTTTGTGGTATTTTATACTTTTTTACTCTTTTGTGCGTAATAAGAGAACACCTCTTCAATTCAGATTGCTGGTTTACTTTTTTATATTTTATTTCAGATTTTCGGTACTATAACTTGGCAATAAATAAAACAGTACTGTTATGAAACTTGAGTGTTGAAGAAAATAGTATTGATACAAAACAGTATAGCCAAATCTAGCTGATTGAGATATACTAGTGTGTGGTTTTTTTTTTAATAATAAGTCAATCAAGAAGTTATTTAAATACTATAACTCACTTAATAGGATTGGCTAAAATATGGGTGTGCATGTCTTTGTACATGCCGTAGCTAGACAAAGGAAAACAAAACATTCCATGGGTTCACGCAACAGAAAGAAAAACAAGGTTGTTCAAATAAAACTGGCTTCTCATTTGACTATTCACTCCTCCCAGCTCCTCCTCTTCATTTCTGTGTTAGGTCTTACTTGTCAAATGTTAATGTCTAAATATCTGGGAATTCCCTAAGGGAATTTCCTTTATAATGCAAGTGGTAAACTGCACTTTTTTTGGTTGGCAGCAGCAACATGTATTAGTATCAAAATGGAAAATGAATGACTTTAGGAAAGACACTAATGAATAACACATGATTATGACTCATCTGTGTACACATTTATTGGCTAAAACCCCAAAAGAAATAGCATTCTAATACAAATATGCAATATGGACAGAAGACTAAACTGTGCCAGATACAGCAATAAATGCTTCAGTTCAGTAATTGCTAATTACACTTGTTTTAGAAAATGTCTGCCTTCATTTATACTGTAGTACAATAACTTAAATTATATAATAATTTATATAATTTCATACTTCCTTATAATCTAGTGCTAATACTGTTCTAATACTGATTATCAGCTAATAGAGCATTAGTTTGTGCTGATCTGTTCCTAGATTCCAGCTACGTTTTCCACTTCCTTTTTGGATGTCTATAGGAACCATACAACACTAGTCTATTTATCATTTGCTCACTGGTGTAACTGGGGCTACATCTACACTACGGGGGGGTGGTCGATTTAAGATATGCAAATTCAGCTACGCGAATAGCGTAGCTGAATTCGACGTATCGCAGCCGACTTACCCCGCTGTAGGGACGGCGGCAAAATCGACCTCTGCGGCTTCCCGTCGACGGCGCTTACTCCCACCTCCGCTGGTGGAGTAAGAGCGTCGATCCCCGAGAGGTCGATTTCTACCCGCCGATTCAGGCGGGTAGTGTAGACGCAGCCTGGGCTGTCAATGGACGCAATGTGGTCTACTAGTTACATTAATAGATAGGGAGTCAAGCCACATGGGTTCTCTTCCTGACTTCACCAATCATTCACTCTGTGACCTGTGGAAGTCACTTGGCGCTTAAGTTTCCCCATCAGTAAATTGGAGTTAATAATAAAACTATGTTCACACACAAATGAAAGTAGTATTTCTGACCTCAGGAGATTAAAAAATGAGTTAGACCACTCAAGAAACCACAAACCATGTGATTTTCCCCCCCCCCAAGAGTTGTTTTTTTTTTTTTTTTTTTTAAAGAAGATTATAGAGTGTGGGGTATGTGTTTGTGTGTGTTTTCTTTCTGATCTGTCTTTTGATTTTTGAATTCCCTCTGCCTATTACACGCATGTGTGACAATTGGTGTTGTTCACTGTCCCAAATTTATTTGGTAAGGTGATTTTTGGCCCTGGCTGCAGGAGTAAGTTTGCTAGGTATCCAGTTTTCCACTGGAACAGCTGGTCGAAAAGGGACCCTGGTGGCTCCAGTCAGCACCGCTGACCAGGCTGTTAAAGTTCAGTTGGTGTGAGGCTGGCAGGCTCCCAACCCGGCTCTGCACAGCTCCCCTTGGCCCCAGCCAGGAGCCCCCTCCTGCACCTGGAACTCCTCATCCCTGATCCCACCTCAGAGCCAGCACCCTCAGCTGGAGCCCTCACCCTCCTGCACCCCAACCCCGTGCCCCAGCCCGGAGCCCCTTCCCACACTCTGAACCCATCAGTCCCACCACTGAGCCCGGAGCCCCTCCTGCACCCTGAACCCTTCATTCCAGAGCCCATACCCCCGCCCGGAGCACCCTCCCTTATCCTGAACCCTTCATTTCAGGCTCCACCCCAGATCCCATACCCACTCCCATACCCTGCCCCCCTGCATCAGCCCAGATTCCCTTCCTGCACCCTGAACCCGTAAGTTCTGGCTCCACCCCGAAGCCTGCCTTCCCAGCTGGAGCCCTTACCGGAACCCCAACCCACTGCCTAAGCCTGGTGAAAATGAGTGAGTGAAAGTGGGGGAGGGGGATGGAGTGAGCGGGGGGGCGGGACCTCGGGGAAGGGGCAGGGTAAGGGTGTTCCGTTTTGTGTGATTAGAAAGTTGGCAACCCTATGCAGGAGCTCTCACCCCTACATCCGTCTGTCCTCTGTCCAGCGATTAATCCTGCCCCTCCTTCCCCCAGTTCCTGCATCAGTTCTGCTCGTTTGTAGCCCCAATGTCCATAAGTTCTGCCTCCTAGCCTCTCCATCAATTCAACGTCCCACCCCATCAGTTCTGCCCTCTACCTCATTTCTGCTCTTCCTGGGGTTTTTCACTTCCCTCTCCTAGGTCTGGGAGTGGGGACTACAGCTGGGTCTCCTTCTCCCCCTTCCAGGCTGGGGCGATGGGGAGGATTAGCTCCAGAGGCTCTGCACCCCTTTATACTGTTCCCAAGCTGCATGTTGCAGTGAGTGTGGGGAGGACCAGAGGAGCTGTCAGAACTATAAAGGGAAGGGTAACAGCCCTCCTGTGTACAATACTATAAAATCCCTCCTGGCCAGAGACTTCAAAATCCTTTTACCTGTAAAGGGTTAAGAAGCTCAGGTAACCTGGCGGACACCTGACCCAAAGGACCAACAAGGGGACAAGATACTTTCAAATCTTGGTGGGGGGAGGGGGGAAAGCTTTTGTTTGTGCTCTTTGTTTTGGTGGAGTTCGCTCTTCGGACTAAGAGGGACCAGACATCAATCCAGACTCTC